GCGCGCGCCAGCGCCCGCCGCGCCCGCCGCGGAGCGCCGCGCAGACCCCGAGTTGCTGGCCGACTTGATGAAGTTGCTCGCGGCGCACAACGCGAGTGTCGACCGCGAGGTCGTCGCGCTGCTCGCGACTTGCTCGGACGCCGCGATCGTCGAAGCGTTTGAAGGCATGGGCTGGGACTCGAAAAAGGGCCGCGAAGTCGCTGCGCTGTTCATCGACTTGCTGCACAACCCGTTTCAGAAAGTGCAGAAGGCGGCGCGCAAGGGCCGTCGCTGAGCGCGCGGCGTTTTGTCTTCAATATTTATTAGAGTTCACAGCGCGAAGATGGTTGTCAAGCGAATTTCCTCGCTGGTGTCGAAGGCGGACTTGCGCGCGCTGCAGGAGTACCTGCTGCAGGAAGGCACCGTGGTGGTGCGCAAGCTGGCGACCGCGGAGCCGCACCCGGCGACGCAGTTGCAAAACCTGCACGTGAAGCTGGTGCTGCGTTCGATGAAGTCGCGCAACTTTGTGCAAGAGGTGTTCAGCTGGGGGCACCACTACTACACGCTGACGCCCGAGGGCATCGAGTTTTTGCGCGGCGAGCTCGGGCTGCCGCAGCACATCATGCCGAAGACCTACGCGTGCCCCGTCGCGCAAAGCGCGTACGTGCAGCAGCGCGCGTAGCGCGCGGCCGCGGCGCGACGCTTCGCAGTGATGAAATCAGTATGGGGACAGCCGACGCGTGACGACCATGCAGTTCTGAGCGAGAATAAATGCGTCGTAAAGCTACATACCTTCGTAAATCTTTCGCATGCAGTAGAGATGCTCGGAGTTGCAGGATTTTTGGTTCCGCAGCTGCTGAATGTGGCGACGCTCGCGAGTCTCGTCGCGCTGCTAGTTGCGGTGCGCAAAAAGATTCCGCACCCGAGCGAGTTCGCGGTAATCGGCTGGGTGTACCTGTGGCTGGGCGTGCACAAGCACCGCGCGTTCAAGCTGCTGGTGGACTTCCAGACGCTGGCGACGGCGAAGCTGGGCCGCAGCTACTACGTGCGCGTGAAGTGCGGGCGCTTCGAGGCGCGCACGGCGGTGGAGAAGTGCACCGCGGCGAACGGCGTGGTGAGTCTGTTCCAGCGCGTGGACATCCAGGTGCGGCAGAAGGACGGCTCGGTGGAGTTCGAGCTGTATTGCAAGGGCATGACGCGCGACGAGCTGGTCGGCGCGGCAGCGCTGAGCGTGGACAACATGCTGCTGCTGTACAACTTCCCGAAGGACGCAGAAGTGGTGCTGAAGCGCGACGGGCTGCGCACTGCGTCGGTGTTGGCCTCGTTCTACGAAGCGGTCGAGCTGCCGTTCGCGTTGGACTCGAATCTGGTGGTCAGCAGCGCGATCATGCAGCAGATCATGATCCAGAACGAGCGCGAAGGCACGCGCCTCGCGCCGGAGGCGATCGCGCGGCTGGGCAGCGCGGACCGCATCGCGCTGTTCAGCCGCGTGCTCGAAGGCCCGCTGGACATGATGGACATGAGCGAGCCGGCGCTGAAGTTTGCGCGCTACTACTTCAAGGCGACGTCGACGAAGCACAACGACTGGGTGTGGTGCTACTGGGGCTCCGCGGAGCAGCTGCGGCAGAAGGCGAACCCGCTGGGCGGGTTCTACCTCGGCGCCGTGAAGGCGGTGCTGCGCAGCAACGCGGCCGGCATGCGGCACCAGTTCATGATCCGCTACCAGACAAAAAGCGAGACGAAAGAGTTCTTTTTCAAGCGCGTGGACCGCGAACGGAACCTGTGGGTCGACGGGTTGTACATCGTGATCGACATGGTGCACGACTACCTGAAGCACGGC